GTGTGTATTTTGACTATATATAGTCAAAATGTGCTGTATATCTATAAAAAATATCCTCATATCAGTCAAGTTTATCATCAACTGATTTATAACTAGTGTATCATTGAATAATAGACACACAAAATAATTATTACATCCTACTTTAAACTGCATGAAAACCATAACCATCACGTGTTTGATGCAGCTACTAGTTAGTGTTAGTTTAATGAATGACTTCAGCAGTTCATCCATTAACAATGAGTTTGACTAAAAAACGAGTCTTCTGACACATTCATTGTAGTTCTATGATGATTTGTTCTTTTGTTTACATATAGGGTTTGGTTAAAGTTGATGAACGAGTGTTATTTTTTTAAGTGGCTGCTCATTTTCCCCTCTGAAGCATGACTGTGCATTTTTAGGCAGGCCAAACCCTCGGTCCAAAGTTGGTCTTGCAAATTTTACCAGCAGTAATCAAGAGCAAAGGTTTGCACAAAACCGCTTTGACACATTGTTCAAACAGGGACTCAGCCTTTTTATTGTATATCACTTGATCAGTAATAAATCAAACATTGTTTGCAGCATGTAGGCATTTTTACAACAAATATTCTTGTTCAGAAACACAATTTAACTTTTTATAATTTACTTTACAGACCAGTTTTAGTTCTCTTTTTTTCCTGTCTATTCATGATTTGACATGACTGCTGCATTAGAGCTGTGGATTGTAAAGAAAATATCTGATTTAACTGATGCTGCTGTCTGGCACTCCTGTGTGTGTCTTCCTTTGTAAAGAAGTGATCACTGACATGATTCCCCTTCTTGTTCCACCTGTTTCTACATGTGTTATCATTAAAAATATGGTTCATCTGTTGGCCAACAAGGCGACTGATTTTATCCTATTATCCTTTTGTTTCCATTTTTTAAAATATACTTTGTTTGAATTTCTGTCTCACAGCTTCGAGACTGCATTCAAGCTACTCTGACTGATTGGTTGTCCACAACAAAACAGCCGACAACGGTGGGTAGAACGCTGTTTTAAAATATTTTTATTTAATTTTGTTTTATTTAAATTTGTATTCAACAACTGAAGGAGTTTCTTACATTAAAAGACTTGTTTTCTGTACGTCACGACCCTGAGAAACATGAAACAGTCAGGCCTGCAGCACGTGAACACGTCTCTGTGATGAAGCTGCTCCGTTAGATTCCAGTGTTTAAAGTCAAGTCGCTGCGGTGATGAACATCAAAGGAAGCCTGCAGTTTTCTCTGAAAAGAAGCTGTCACAGTGAATGTTCATGCAGCGCTGCCTGCTAGAGGCGCCGCTCCAAAACGTGTCTGTCTGGGAGTCTGGGGCCTGGGTCAGGGTGACACGACTTTTACTTTTTTTAATTTTAAAGAGAAGGTTTTGAGTTTCATGTGTTCATCTACAGATTGAACATTTCTGTTAAATAAATCTGTTCTGTGAAAACAAAAGTTTGAACTTGAAGTCATGCTGAGCTCGTTCTGCTCTGACTGTTCACTGGACTCAGCTAATCTGCTTTAACCTTCATCATCACACCCACCAGCAATAACCTGGGGGTGGGGGCACAGCTGAGGTGAGGGGGTCTCAGACTGACGACGCTCGGGAAACCCTCCCCCCTGCAGGGAACTGTTAAAAATGAGATGTTTTTTGTGGGTTCAAGCAGTTTTTTTTTTTTTTTCGGTTTGATTTATCTGTTTTATTTGTTGAGTATAAAGCAGTAACAACTGTGATTCAAAGCTTAAATCCTAAGCCCCCTTGACCCCCTTTAATTTATTAACAGGTTTAAATATAAATCCCCTTTCAGACATGCATTGCTTTCTAAGAAACTCGTGGCAACAGAATGAGTTAGTTTGTTGTTTTAAATAATTCAAAATTGTTATTTTATGTGTATTTTTTGCATTTGTAGAACAGTTTTTAGCAATTATCAAAAAGCTTTACAAGGAGAAACGGTCATTACTGAAACGATCTATAATTAGGAGTTTTAATTCAGGTTTGTGGTGTGTTTTCTTTAACAGTACCAGCAGTGTGCTGCTCAGTCCCATTTTACAGACATTTCACGCAAATTAAAAACACACTGGGTATTCTGTGGTGGGTCATATGACACATCAAGTGGTGCGCCAGCACACACACAGGGTCACACAATACCTAAAAAAACATCAAATATGTCTTGATGTTAAAGGAATAATTATGACCCCCCGCACGCAAACCGTAAACTGGAGTCATATTGTTTTTGTACCCTTTTTTTTTTTTTTTTTTGTTCAGTGATTTTTGGTCAACCGTAGCACAAAAACGGCTGCACCGGTCAACATGAAATTTGGCAGGACTGTAGATGAGTCTGACCTACACTGCGCCAGCCAACGGTTTTACGATAGACCCCATATTTGAGGAGGGGGCTCCATCCAAATAGGGGGTGTCTGGATATGCAAAAATGCTTATAACTCAGAAACTGTTCAACATAGGAGCTTCAGATTTCTTTTGTTGTTTGGCTCTGATGAAGCTCTATCTATCCATCAAGCCCACCAATCAGTGCCTCCCCCCCAATAAAAAACAGACAAAAAAAGACCCCCACCCAAACCCCTACAATTTTAGGATGCACCTAGAAGCATGACATTTATTAGGAATAAAGACTGCTGAGTTCTGGTGCATGTGTGCGTGCGGGGGTCATTATGTTACTGCTCTGCGGTATCTAGTTCATAAAGTTGATGTAGTTGTGCCCCTCGCACTGTGACTGCTGGATATGAGCACCAGTGACCCTGAAAGGAAGAGGCAGGTATAGATGATGGATGATGATGTAATATTCTGTTTAAAAAAGCCTTAGTCGATAATTTAAGGAGTGCAGGTATCAGTTTGGCAGCAGGTGGCAGAGTTGCACCATCTGTGGTGAAAATGTGTGGAATGTTTAACATTTTAATCTTTGCTTTTTTGCTGTTTTATTCACAGGACTTGGTGTTCTAGTGAACAAATGTCCTGGTCTGTTCACAGTAACACCAAGTCGTTGGCATCTTTAATGATAAATATGTTCCTGCAGAGAGCGGGAACTCGTCTGCATAGTATCTATCTCAAAAAGCAAGAGGCTAAACATGGTTTGACCTGAGGAAATTTAAAAATGAGGTTTTAAGTTTTGCAGAAAACTGAAGGGCACAGATGTTTCTTAAAAAACATTTTAACAAAAGGGAACGCTGAAATGACACGCCAAGCAAGATGTCTGAAGAAACGTAAACAAATTCTGTCATTTCTGTTTGCATGGTGATAAATATTTATTAGTTATGTCAGTAATTATAATTGAGTCTCTGACTGGACGTTTTCTCACGCAGGACTTTCCTGATACGCTGGACTTCTCCACCCCAGAGGTCACAGACGCCATCACACCTGAAGAGAGAGAGGAAGTGAAGGTTTCAGGTCAGTCCTGCTTTTATTGTTTATAAAAATAAGTGTATGTGTGGTCAGTAAGTTTGTGCTTCGGAGTAATCGCTGTTTTAAGTTGTCATTTCTATTAGGGCTGCATGATATTTAGAAAAAACTGACCTTGTGTTTTTCTTTAAACTTGTGAAATATGTGTTGTGAAAAAAATACATGCATTTTCAACAGATGATTTGAGTAACACTTTAAGTTCTGCTGCCGTCTTGTTGATGAATCTGCACCAATCTTTTTTTCCCCTGCATGATACAGGTCTGTTTTTTGTCTGTATTTTCGAGTTATTCCTATCTTTTATTTAGATTTTTATTGTGCTGGGACCTGAGTACATATTTTCTTCTATCATAAACATGAACCTTGTTTTACCACCTAATGTGTTCCCTCTTTGTCTATCTTAGTTTCTGTTTCTGTCATGCTTCAATATTAGCATTCGTGCTAACCGTATTTTACCTCTTTCCCTCCAGTTCTCAGCAAATTCTCTCATTCTCTCTCTTTCTCAGTTTTGTCCTCATTGTCTTCCTCCACAGCTCCAGAATTCTCTGACACTTCTTTGAAACTCGTAGCCGTTATTGTCCCTGAGGTTTCACAACAAAATGAAAGCAGAAGCGAACCGTCAAAATAAAAGCCGAAACACATGACCATTTGGTTCAGTGACTTTTTGTTTAGCCCCTGAATAACACATTGGTTTAATTGAGACCTGTAGTGTCACTATTGCACACGTACATTCTGATGAGGATGCTCAAACGATACATTGTGCAGCTCTTTCTGTCCACTAACATATTTTAATCATAAATGATCGTCAGTGAAAGGAAGCTGTCAAACATAGTTGGCTCTAAAGCAGTTTAGTTTTGATCTAATAATAATAAAAACGGCTTCAGCTTGGGTTTATTAGCCAGACATCCTGCTGAGTTCTGTAACTCAGCAGACTGAATTCAGTCTAAGTGGAGGAAGACTCATAGCTCTGTTTTGTTTCTGCAGTGAAGCTCTTTCTGTGTGAGCCGGGTCAGTCTGCCATCGAAGATGCAGTGGAGATGGGTGAGCTCATCAACCACCTATTATTTACGATATAAAACCTCACATCTCTGCAAAGAGATCTGGAAGGTAAACGGCCTTGTTTGTTCCTCCCCTGCAGCCCGGCAGACTCTGGCCGTGTCCCAGCTCGACTCTGTTATTATAGCGCCCCCTGGACCTCTGGAGGGGGACGGCCAGACTCTGGCTCATCTGCAGCCGGCGTGGGAGAAGCTGGAGGCTCTGGTAAGGAGCCAGAAGATCGCAGCCATCGGCACGTCTGATCTGGACAAAGATCTGTTGGAGCAGCTCTACAACTGGGCTCAGGTCGGTGGAAATCTCGTGCACTTGTGATCCAACAAAGAGGTTGATTGATTAGAACGGTGAAAGGTCTGGATGAGGGATTTTGAGCTTTAAAGGGATCCCCGATTAGTTGTAACATTAGACTTTATTTGACAAACATATATTTTAACCGTAAAATAAAGACTGTAAACATACTGTAGGCTGTTTAGTTTTGTAAATTTTAAAAAATATATTTTAACACGGAGAGAACCACTTTATTTACACGCAAAGCATTCTGGGTAAATGATGACGTGGATAGGTCCTCGGTGCGAGGCTGCTCGCAAGCTATATCCACCCTGAAGGTTATTCTTGGACAATATCTGACAATCAACTCTTTTAAATGAAACCAGAGAGCGTTGACAGAGAGGAGAAGGTAGAAATGACTCAGCCTGGAACTGAAAACATGGATGGAGGACAACAGAGCTGCTTCATGGAAGAAGAACCTCAGCTTAGCCTGTTAGCTTTAGCGCTGACCTTATATTGCCTTATATATTAGCTCAGCGCTAGCGCTACAAACAAGCTAAACTGAGGTCCTCCATCTATATTTTCAGTTTCAGGCTGAGTCATTTCTACCTTCTCCTCTCTGTCAACGCTCTCTGGTTTCATTTAAAAGAGCCAATCGTCAGATATTGTCCAAGATTAACCTTCAGGGTGGATATAGCTCGCTAACATCTTCGTGCCGATGACGTAGTTGATGTCATCATTTACTCAGAATGCTTTGCATGTAAATGAAATGGCTCCATCCGTGTAATATATTTTTAAACTTTTAGTTTAAAAATTAGAAAAACTAAACATCACACAGTATTTTACAGTCTTTATTTTACAGTTAAAATATACGTTTATCATATAAAGTCCAATGTTACAACTAATCATGGATCCCTTTAAGAGTTTGATATTATGAGTGTTAAGTTGACACTCTCAATTTTATGGTATATTGACATCTTGTGGTGTCTGCAAACCTTTTAACACCACAATTTCCTTTGTTAATAATAACACACTGGTGATACTTTTAACACTGTTGAAATATTAATACCACACCCAGTATTGTTCAATATTAAACACTGGTTGGTTTTACTTTTAACACTATATTTTAAAACTAACACTATTTTTATTAGAGAAGGGACAAATGGTTCCTTGGAGGGATCCGGAT